AAACTAGTCCCTTGGCTGGGTGGCTCAGTTGGTCGGAGCATCAGCCAGCACTCCAAAAAGTGGCAGGTTTGATGATCAGTCAGGGCACACACCTAGGTTGCGGATTTAATCTCCATTCGAGAGGCAACCCATCGATGTTTCTCTCTCACATTGATGTTTCTTTCCCTTCCTCTCTAAAAATCTGTTAAAAAAACACACAAAAAAACCATACCCTCGGTTGTGGATTAAAAAAGAAAGAAAATCTAACTAGTGGCATATCTGGTTCAATCTAATTTTAACTTTGTGTTTTATAATATTATTAAATGGCACAATTGAATAAAACTGTGAAATTACTTCTGATGTACAGGATAAACATCCCAGAATTGAACTGGAACGTGAAAACTAAACGTAAAAGTTACCCAAACAGATACGTAGTGACCTATATATACCACTAAATGGAATCAAGTGGGCAAGGCTGACCGTGTGATGGTGAGGGAGGCAACAAATTAAATATTCTGAAAGTGGAGAAAACTGAAAGCACAGATTAGAGCTGTACTTTATTATAGTTATAATTAAAGTCGGAAAAACAATGCTGATTAAGAAAGAACTTCACAGTAGGAATAGTCCAAAATGTTAAAACCTTGAAAATGAAGGGGATTGATAAACAAATTCAATATTAATGCTATTTTTAACATTTCCCTCTCCAGAATCACAGCTTAAAAATCTTTAGAAGTCTGTTGTTTTGTAATGCCCCACCCCAAACCCGCCTCATTCTATCATTTCCANCTTAAAAATCTTTAGAAGTCTGTTGTTTTGTAATGCCCCACCCCAAACCCACCCCATTCTATCATTTCCATCAGCATGTTACTACCTCATAGAATTATTTTATGTTTTCCTAGTAGCAATAATTAAGTGCCCTGCAACTCTAGAAGGCACCTTCTTTCCGTAAGTCTAAGACTTCTGTAAACAACAACTGTATAACAAGTCTTTCCAGGCATTCTGTAGGGATTTTGCGACCTATCTCTGTACCTTGATAGAGTGGTGCTTTACTCTCTCTTATTAAGTTTAGCATGATTTGGTGAACCAGTGCCCCACAAGGAAGCTATGTATACCTTGGAGCCAACATTAAGTTTAAAGTACACTATTTTTTTCAATTTATCTAGAAATACTAAAAAACACACACCTCTTTCCAAAATATTAAAGGAAAAAATTTCCACAAAATCTTCTCTTGCATTGCTTCTACATTTACACTCCTTCATCTTCATCTTGTAAAATGAGACATTACCTGATTTTTCTGGTGAGAACTAACAAGAACATTCTAGGTTTGCATCATACTTAACAATTTACAGAAGTATTTGACACTCATTTTCTTTTTGTACCCAGTAGTCCAGTTTCACAACTTTGAAGCACTTAGACCACATTTTGCCAAAAGGCTATCTAAAAATCCTTAGCTTTCCTTTTCTATGATGTGTTACAATGAAGCCAAATGAAAAAAACAAGAATGACTCTCACTTAGGACAGGCCTATGCTATTTTTCTCTGCATCAAGACCATAAAAGCACCATCGAAACCATAAACCTGTGTGCATTGGCTGAAATGGACATTTTAGTGAGTGACATCAGCATCATGGCAAAGTGAGACGACCCTTTGTATCTCCCCTGAAATCTACAACTAGTCGGCTATCCAGAACCCAACAAAGGCTCCTCTGCTCGACACACTAAGTGGTCCACACACCAGGCCCTCAAAGGTGGGCTTACTGGAATGTGCAGGAGAGGCAGGGTGGAGGGAGAACAGGGACAGGCCCACAGCTGCAGCAGGCTGAGCCCACAGCCCCAGCAAACCCAGTAGTTGCGGATGGGTTAGGGTGCAGCCCCCACACTGCAGACCAGCAGAGGGCAACAGTCCAGCAGCATTCCTAGCCCCACCCCAAAATCCAGGTCCCTGCCCAGTTGCAGCAGACCAGTAGCAGCAGCAGAGACAAGTCTCCAGCCCCTTGGCCACAGCACAGTGCTGCCAGTGGCCATAGGGAATGAAGCGGCAGCTCAGTGGGCTCACAAACTGGCTCCCCTCAACTGGCCACATCCCCCTGCCTGCCATGGTGGTGGCGCCCTGAGACCCAGGCAACCCGGATCCAGCACCAGCACCCACCACCCTGGTCAGCCTGCTGCCACCACTCCCATGTCCAAGGCTAAGCCTCCCACACCTTGAATCACTGCACACCCCTCCCCAAGCTTAAGTAGCACAGTAAGAGAAAACAAATCCTGTGCTACGGCACCACCTACTGGGAAACTAAAGAAAGACCCCAAGTTATCAACCTGCTGAATGGTGGAAACCAGATGTCCCTAAATAAGAAAAGTGTTCACTACTTCAAATGCACCAGCAGAGAAACAACCCATTAAGCAGCATGGACCACCAAGGTAACACTAACAAAGAAAGAAAATGACAGTTCTCCAGAAAGAAACTCAAAATAACCGCTGGTTGTGATATAAATGAGAAATCAAAATAGCAGTCATGAAGAAACTCAACAAGACACAAGAAAACTCAAAAGGCAGTTCATTGAGCTCAGAAATAAAATTAATGAACAGAAGGAGTACTTTACCAAACAGAAGAAAACTATAGAAAGAACCAAACAAATTCTGGAGCTTAAAGAACTCCATAAAGGAGATGAAGAATGGATATATTAATAACCATGATACACAATGAAGCCTAGTTGCTATTTCAAGACTCCCTATCATTGCCATCTTAGTCACCAGTCATTCAAGTGCTGGCAAGATATACAGACATAAGTGACCCTCATTTTAAAAATTCAAATATATCGGCAAACATACTGCTGCGAGAGATCTCTGAGATTTTGCTGCCTACGTTTTCTTTAAGAATTTATGTCTTTTATCCATTTTGAGTTTATTCTTGTGTATGGTGTGAGTTGGTGGTCTAGCTGCATTTTTTTGCATATACCTGTCCAATTTTCCCAATACCATTTACTGAAGAGACTGTTTTTACTCCATTGTATGCTCTTGCCTCCTTTATCAAATATTAATTGAGCATAAAGGCTTGGGTGAATTTCTGGGTTCTCTGTTCTGTTCTATTGATCTATATGCCTGTTCTTGTGCCAGTACCAGGCTGTTTTGATTACAGTGGCTTTGTAGTATAACTTGGTATCTGGTATTGTGATCCCTCCAACTTTGTTGTTCTTTCTCAAGATTGCCGTGGCTATTTAGGGTCCTTTTAGGTTCCATATAAATTTTTGGAGTGTTTGTTCTAGATCTGTGAAATATGCCATTGGTATTTTAATAGGGATTGCACTGAATTTATGGATTGCTTTGGGTAGTATGGACATTTTAATGATGTTAATTCTGCCAATCCATGAATACGGTATATTCTTCCAGTTGTTTATATCTTCCTCTAACTCTTTTTTAAACGTCCTATAGTTTTCAGAGTACAGGTCTTTTACCTCCTTGGCTGAGTTTGTTTCTAAGTATCTTAATTTTTTTGTAGAGATGGTAAATGGGATTGCTTTTTTAGTTTCCCTTTCTGAGAGTTCACTATTGTTGTATAAAAATGTGTGATGCCCAGCCAGGATGGCTCAGTGGCTGAGCATCAACCTGTGATCCAGGAGACTGCAACCTGTGATGCAGTTCAATTCCAAGTCAGGGCACATGCCCAGGTTGTGGGCTTGATCCCCAGTGGGGGGTGTGCAGGAGGCACCTGATCAATGACTCTCTCATCATTGATATTTCTATCTCTCTGTCTCCCTCTACATTTCTTCTCTCTGAAATCAATAAAGATAATATATATACTTTAAAAATTCCTCACACCGGTCAGGATGGCTAACATCAACAAATCATCAAATGAAAAGTGCTGGTGAAGATGTGGAGAAAAGAGAACCCTAGTACACTGCGGGAGGGGGGGATGTAGACTGGTGTAGCCACTATGGAAAACAGTATGGAGTTTCCTCAAAAAATTAAATATGGAACTGCCATTTGACCCAGTGATCCCACTTCTAGGAATATATCCTAAGGAACCCAAAACACCAATCAGAAAGAATATATGCACCCCTATGTTCATAGCAGCTCAATTTACTATATCTAAGATCTGGAAACAGCCCAAGTGCCCATCAGCAGATGAGTGGATAAAAAAGCTGTGGGACATTCACACCATGGAATACTATGCAGCTGTATTAAAAGAAGGATCTCTTACCCTTTGAGACAGCATGGAGGGACCTAGAGAGTATTATGCAAACTGAAATAAGCCAGTTAGAGAAAGACAAAATCACATGATCTCACTCATATGTGGAATCTAATGAACAAAATAAACTAATGAACAAAATAGATCCAAAGACACAGAAGTATAGAACAGACTGACAAATTTCACAGGGAAGTTGGTGGTTGGGTAGTGGGGGGGGGAGGGGAGATTAATCAAAGAATTTATATACATATATGCATCACCCATGGACACAGAGAATAGTGTGGAGAAGGCTTGGGGTGCGTGGGCAGGGGCTGATGCTGGGTGGAGGGGATCAG